CGCGGTCCCACCTGAGCCGGGCTCCAAGCCAGGCTCAGTTCCTGCCAGTGGCTGGGCCTGCCCTGGGGCCGAGCACGTGGTGGGGACACACAGCCACACAGACTGCGGTGTCGCTGCTCCAAACGCAGGCTGGCTGGGACACGTCGGGAACGTGATCTGAAGGTGTTTAATAGAGAAACATACGAGAAACATACAGAGAGACGGAGAGACAGAGGGGGAAGAGGGAGGGCCTGAGGTCACCACGCACCTGCACAGCAGACACCGTAGCTGAGGGCAGCGGTGAGCCAGGACGGGGACCTTCCCACCGCGGGGACCGACCCGCCCCAAACCGCGGACACGCAGCGTGTGCTCGCCGGTCCCGGTGGTGTCTGCCTTTCACACGTTCCCCCCTGAGCTCACTTAAACGTGCCTGTGGGGAGAAGCGGCAGTGCCCTGTCTGCAGCTGTAGGGACGCTTGAGCCAGCGGCTGCGAGAGCGCAGGACTCCGAGACGTGGCCCTCACGCGCACCCTGACGCTGGGGCCGTGGGCCGCTGCCTCATCTCCACGTATCTCTGTCCTCGTGCTGGAGGAGAATGGAGTAAGGACATGGCTTTCGGGAACGCTGGCATTCACGCGACGTGTATGAAAACTCGTTTCATAACCAGCATCTGCTCTGAAGCTAGGCAGGAGAAGAGCAGCGTGTTCCGGAAGGCGGAACCTCACACAGTGTGAGTGTGTGATGCGACAGGGGGACTCATTCACAGGCGAGAGACAGACCGAGAAGTGGCACCACCCCAGTTCTGAGGTGTCGAGGCTGGGACACAGGTGTCAGGAGAAAAGCAGTCACCGATCAGCCTCGGCCGGGCCACTGTTCCCTGTGACGCCTGCGGCCTCTGCTGCTGGGCGCTTCTCCGGGAGGGACGGGACTCAGCTCCCGCCGCCAGCTCCCACCCTCTCGGCCTCTGCTCTCCTGTCCCTCAGGCCACTCCCCAGAGCCACCGGACTCCCTCCCCCTCCTGCTGGGAGGGAAGTCTCAGAGAGGCTGAGGGTGTTGCCCTCCGTGGCCTCCCGGGACGCCCTGGGCTGCGCACCCTCTGATGCCACGACCCCGCGTGGAGGGAGACGCTCGCTGGGACAAGGCGACGGAGGAGTGTGGGCAGAGTGAGCGGAGGCGACTTAGGCTGGCGAGGCACTGCCAGGCCCAGGCCAGACCCCGCAGGGCAGTGGCAGTGACCGGGCAGAGGGCCCCGGCGGGGGGCTATCCCGAGCGCCACACCCCGAACCGGTGCAGCGTGGGGGGTGCGGCAGACACGGAGAGCCACTCTGCCTGGCTCGCAGGCCAGCAACAAAGGGCCTCGGCAACACGCTCCCTGCGCAGCCGCTGGGCTGGGAGGGGCACAACCGCGGGGTTTTTCCAAGGCCTCCTGTGAATGCGACACCCGCGTTGCCACGGCAACGCCATCCGGCTCTGAGCCGCAACAAAGCCGCAGCTTCGAGTCTCACCTTTGGCCATCTTATTGAGAACCATGTCAATCAGGATGTAGGTGCCGCTCCTGCCCGCGCCGTCACTGTCAACAGAAGGAGAGAGTGAGACGCCTCTGCCGGTCTATGGGGCACACAGCTGCCTCCGCCCCTTTACGCTCCAGGGGGCCAGGGCGGGCGGGGACAGGCTGCGGGGACAGGGACGGAGCGGCTGTGCTCTCTTCTTTCCTTCCTTCTCTCTGGCCAAAGATGGGTGAGTTTTGTTAAAACACGAGCAAAGACGTTGGACTAGGCTCAGAGGCGGCCTTGTATTGAGCCCCCGAGACCCTTTCTCTAGGTGACTGGGAGCCTCCGGGGTGACAGAGGGCCTAGGCCCGGGCCGGCTCGAGTGCAGGCGCGCTTCTTGTCCACGGGAGCAGGGCAGCCCCGGGACCCCTCTGGAACCGCCCCGGGACACCCCGGGACCCCTCTGGAACTGCCCAGGACCCCTCTGGAACCGCCCCGGGACCCCTCTGAAATCACCCCAGGACCCCTCTGGAACCGCCCCGGGACGCCCTGGGGCCGCAGAGCCTCCCTCTCAGAAGCAAAGGTGCGACGTGCCTTTGAGCCACACCCTGAAGAGACCCGTCTCAGCCTCGCCCGTCCCTCCAGTTGTCCCCGGAGAAGCTGCTGTCCGGACTAGGCCACGTCTCCACACCAAGAGAAAACAAATTTCTTCTCAGGGGAGAAAGGCAGCCCGGCATCGTCCTCTTCGCCACAGGAGCATGTGCAACCCTGTCTTGCCCGTGTAGACGCTGTCGCCAACTCACGAGCGGGAAGGGAGGAAGCGAGCTCTCAGCCACGGCCAGCTTCCCAGGGCAGGGTCTCGCACTCACCCCGCGAACCCGCTGTGACTTTGAGGGGAAGGCCAGGGTGTTCCCCACACGGGTCGAGGCCCTGCCGACCGACTCCCGGGCTGAGCTCAGGCCCTGTGTGCTGGCTGAGGCCCCGGCTGACCTCCCTGCAGCTCCGTGGTCGCCTCTGGCTTTAACTCGTTTCCTCAAACCAAAGCTGGAACAAAGCTGCCCTGGGGAGGCCGCATCACAGGACCCACGTCCCCACGGCCTCATGGAGGAGACGCCGCCAGCCCTGCTCGGCTCTGACCTCACGCCACTACCAGAGACGTGGGAGCATCCTTGTCGTGCCTACCCTGGGCCTAAACCGACACGAGTATCTCAGGAGCTGCCCGGCCCCCAGCTGGTCTTGGTGCGCTGGGCTGACCGGCTTCCCAGTACCGGAGGGGCCCAGGCCACACTCTGTGCCCGCCTCGCTCACCCACGGAGACGCCCACACACCACTGCTCCTCGGTGGAGCGTGTGGGATCTCGGACACACAGGGCTCCCTCTGTCCGAGGTTCATGCCCAGGGCATGTGCACTCACTGGAGAGACAGAGACAGGCCACCCCCGGGAGACGGCACCACAGCCCCTTCTTTCTCCTCCTGGGACTTTGGGCACACACGCACATGCACCGCATGATCTGCAAGCCACCCAGGACTCGAACCAGACGGCCATGTGGGACTCCAGCGCCTTAACTACCCTGCCACCGCGGGCCCCAGATTTCCTTTTCATTCCAGGACGGGTGGTGGAATTTTTACTGAAAGCCCCCATGATGAAGCGAGGTGGCCAGGCCTTGGTGTCTCTCAGCGTCTACACATGGCTCCAGACGCCGCTACGCATCCCGCTGGCTGAGACGACGCAGGCGCTCAGCACAGGTGCTGGCGAAGTGGCGAAGGGGTCTGGAGGGGACAGCACGCAGCCCAGTGCCCCGGGCAGGAGGGCAGCACCTGCCGCTGTGCAGGTCTGAGGAGACGGAGTTCGTCTGCAGCTTAGCTAACCAAGTGGCACAGAAAACGACGCTTCTGCCTTCGGGATCGTTAGGAGTATGGCGAGATGCATTTCCTAAGCAACCGGGAAACCCGGTGTCTGCACCGATGTCTAAGTGGCTTCCGTTTTGAGGAAGGGCGTACTTGCCTGCAGTGGACGGTCACTGGGCAGGAGCGGCCCCGGTAGCACTTGTTCACTTTTCTGAAACAGAGAGAGAGGGGGGTTACTGCTCGTGCCAAGGCTTCCGGCGCCAGTCACTACGAAGCCAAAGCTGCCCCTGGGAGGCCGCGCTGCAGGGCCACGTCCCCACGGCACGTCTTTGACATCATCCTCACACACTTTGTTTAGACAGAGGAAATAGGAAGCACATGCGCGGTTCAAAGACCAGTCTTCTTCTCGGTACTGATTACTAAACGGAGCTTTAAAGCAGCCTCACCCTTGCATGTTCCTTTTCCCAGCTCTGAACTGGCTTCCAGGTGATGGGTCAGCCCCCTGCACCACACCCCTCCCCGCCGTCTCCTCCCCTCTTTCTCTTCCTCTTTCTGCTTCTGTTGATGTAACCCTTTGTTGAGGTGCGTGTTTGGATTCTTCAATGACGTTTGGAGTTTTTCCAGCTCAAAGTGTCTTACAGTCTGAACGCTGGATACGACCTTACGGCACAGGCTAAACACGCATGTAAGGGGCTTTTGCTCTGTTGGCTTTTGCTCGGATTCTGAATTGCAGGGAAACCTCAATTAAATCCAAGAAAACTCGGGCCCGTTTTTATGAATTTGAGCATGTTTTAGATCAACTCCACTGTGCAGACTTCGATCCAGAAGCCATAAAAATGAACATGTTTAGGGTTCTTACCGACCCCTCACTGAAAACAAGGGCCGATTTCAAATGCACTGTTTCTAAGGAATGGAAATTAAAGACAGGACCTTGCTTTATTGAAAGGGAAAACACACATGAAGGGAACGCGCCCTAAACATGCTGCGTGAGTACCCACGGTACCTGGGCGCGGCCGGGCCCTCCTGTGGGCCAGGGCAGGGGTGGGACAGTCATGCAGGAGGAAATCCAATCGGGTCTCCAGCCCCGGGGCTGAGAAGGTACCTGTCTGCCATGGCCCGGAAGGCAGGCCTCGCCTTCCTTGTCTCCCTACGTCTCCAGGGGCTTCCGTGAGGACGCCCTTCCCATGGCCGCGAGCCCAGACACGGGCCACTCCACACGCTGGGATTGCAGCCCCGGCGGCGGCGCTCTGAGGCCACTGTCCCCTCTGCAGGGCAGCGTCTGAGGCCCTGGGCAGCACCCCGACAGCGTGGCCCGGGGGAGGCTCCTGGCGGACGTGGAGGTTGTCTCACGCCTTCGCTACCTTGGTGGCAGGCAGGGAGTGAGAGTGGCCTGTTAGATCGACAGTGCTCCCACGCAGGCTGCCCGACAAGGTCCTGTCCTCAGGGACGGGGCAGAGCGAGAACGGTCCCTCACTCCTACTGCACGTCCGGCCGCAAAGGGGCCACGGCACCGACTCTGACAAAGTCCCTCCTGGGACGTGGCTCAGGTGAGGGATGCGATGCTCCTGCTCCCAGAACTGCATGCTTGCACGTGCACGCTCGTGTGTGCACACGTGTCTGTGCGTATGTCAAGTGAGCTCTGTCAGGCCGAGCCGCGGGCGCTTTCCTCTCGGAGGCCTCTCACCCTCGGACGCAGGCCGTGCTGCCCTGTGCCGCCCGAGCTGACCACGTCAGCTGTCACTCGGCGCCAGCACGTCCGTCCTGAGAAACGAGTCATCAGCCCGTCGCTGCCGCACGCATCGAGGCACACACTCACACTGCTCTGTGTCCGCCCGTCCACCCGGGACTGCCCGGGCGACCCTCTGAGCCTCCACCCTGCACGGGCTGTCCTCGACCACACCGTCACCGTGGAGCATGGGACCACACTGTCACCCTGCCCGTGCACCGTGGGCTGGCCTGTGTGTGTGAAGGCGCCTCTCCACGGCTGCACGTTCACACGTGGCCGGTCACCAGGATGTGTCCACTTTTTCCTAATGGGACTGAGCACCAAGAGGGCACCGTGAAGACCGGACGGCCAGGTGCCCCGTCACAAACGCACCGCCTAGCCGAGCGCCGCGCCCTTCCCAGCGGACCGGCTCCCCCGCCCAGGCCCGGCGGGGCCGAGAACACCACCCGCCG